GCAGATGAGACAGGAGAGGTCTGCTCACCATGTGGGACCCTCCCTGGCCAGGGATTGAATTCATGCTGCAGTGGCTGCTGATAGCTTCATAGGTTGTGTCTTAACCCCTTGTGCCACCAGGAAGGCCCCAGATAATTCATTTCTAACAAATGGCAGCAATTGCTATTCATCATCAAGTTTTCTTAATTGGAAATGAACCTACAGTAAGAATAATCTTTAATTCTCTCTTTGTTCATTGACACTAAGCTTGGTGGTATTGGTTAGAAGTTTGGGTCAAATCCGAAGATAAGCTCAGCATTTGAATTCTGGCCCTGCCACTTTCTAGTTATGAGTTTTTAGCCTCTTTAAGCCTCACACTTCTCATGTGGAAGATGGATGCCATAAAAGGAATTCCCTTACAGGTTATTGCAAGCACACAAAAGAGCACACACAGAACATGGCCCAGATGCAGCAGCCAATAAATTTTAACTGTTAATCTTATAGTAGCCAAAACTTCCTTGACTGCTTTAGTCATTGTGGGTGTGAGTGTGTGTTTACCCCAGCTTCCTGATGTCCCTCCATTCTTTCTACCACAGATTTCACAGAGAACATTTGTGCAACAAAACTGAACCTCTCTGCATTGAAGCCTTCATGGGACCAAGCCAACTTGAATCCTTCACAATCACCGTAACACAATGCCTGCTGATTTAAGCTCAGCTTGGTTAGCCTGACGTGTTAGTGTTATGTGTACACCATTAGGAATAACCTTAGGGACAGGAAACATGTCAGGAATCAGAATAAGAAGTGTAAATATTGCTGGGTAAGCATCCTGCAGCAGAAGCAGATGACAGAGAGGGGCCACACTCACCCCTTTGCTGTTTCATCAGTAAGGGGGCCTTTTTCTTACCTCCCTGCTCCTGACAATCCAGGGTCACAGCAATTGTCTAAAACTATTTCTCTGTTGTTTCAGTAATCAGCAGCTTGAATTGTGCTCATCTCAGTAAGATGAGAAAAAATTCCCAACTGTAGGGTAGGCCATGGTGGCTCTGTGTGAGCACACTAATCAGGAAAACAATTTCCACCTGGGCAAAGCAGCATTCAGGACAATAAACACTATGTCATTTTCGGGCAATTAGAGATGGTTTCTCTCTTTTCTCCATGCATGTTAAATTGTGTGTATACAGCATGGGACAGAAACACTGAGTAGAAAGGAAGAAAAGAGTTCTGAGATCCTGCTTTAATTAGTTTCTTCTCTGACATTAGTTTTATCTCCTCTGTCCATTCGCCCTAAGTCCTCTCATCATTTCTTACCATGAGCAATGAACATATGTCCCTCCATTCTACTAACAGGCACCTGTCTGCACTGAGAAGCAGACCGACCCCCCACCCCCACCCCAAATGCACCCTTTCTCCTGCTGATGGAGATATTTCAGCTTCAAATTTCAATTCAGTCCCGGGGTCTGAGGCCCAATTTTGAGCACATTGGCATAGGGTGGGTTCTGGTGGTACACTTTTTAATTGCATTATCCTGGGTGATGAAAATCTTTTCATTCTTCAGGCATAAAGAACATGCTGCACAGGGCACACGCTTCCTACCGTGACTTTGAGCCAGGGCCCAGTTCCCTCCCAGTGCCACTTTGTCAGCTGTTCTAAGATCTTTTGTCATCTCAGTGCTATTAATTGCCCTTGAGCAGCACCAGGCTTTTTAATTCAGATTTTCCTAAAACAGCAGGAGGGAAAATGGAATGATTGTAAAAAGGAGTGAATGTTAATTGCTAATGTAGGTAGAGGTTTTGTTGTTGTTTAAGAATGTCCTTTGCATTTTGTAATCTTGAAATAAAGAAACAGAGATTGGATAAAAATAGCAGTCCAAGGACCTTATGGATAAGGAGAGGGAATGAACATGCTTTACTTGTTTGATTTAATCTAATTGTCACACGATCACGGTACACAAAACATCTCACTTGAGTCAGAAATACAGAAGATGTCTATGAGGGTCATACGGTGCATGTCTTGATTTCAATGACTTGAGGAAAAAGGAAACAAAAACTCAAACTGAGAACTATAAAGGAAATTTTATATAGACGACTTTAGATATTTTAAACACCATCTATATTGCTGATGACAGGTGAAACAACAAAGTATTAAAGAAATATGAGTGCCTACCCATTTAGGAGTTTGGAATTAAGAGTTGAAGAATTAGGTATTTGACTTTAAAAGAGTTGGGATAGATTTTTAGCTTCAACAGTTTAGTTAATTCATCATCTTACTACCAAGAGAAGAGTCATTGCCTTTTTTAGAAAACAGAATTATCATTTGTACCATTTCCAACTCTAAAAATGGTGTTTTGATTGTATTCATAATTGCATTCCTACACATATTTTTGTTATTAAAAGACAATGTTAAAAAACAAACTGTATTGTGGTGGATGAATTAAACATTAAATAGTAACAATATAAGTTTTTTTAAACAGTAGTAATTCAAAATCCAAGGAAGTGGGTTTTTTTTTTTTTTTTTTTTTTTTTGCTCATTGAATTCCCAATCTATTTTCTCTGCGCCCAGTCTTACCCTCAAATGAGAAGATATAAGACCCCCCTGGCTCTCACTTCTTCACACCATTTTGGAGGCTACAGTGTTTTCTCTGAGAAACCACTAGGATCTTGGCTGTGCTGCAAGCACTGTAGGAAGTCTGGTTCCACCACAGACACCTCAGAAATGGCAGGTCCCCTCACTATCATTAAATTGTGAAGTCTTTCATAATGCTTTCAAATGGCAAAAGAGGTGTATTGAAAACAAGTCCTCTTTGGGTTTACCATTTCAGTCACTCTTCTCTTTGAATGCTCTGGCATCTAAATTTCAGGGGGAGAAGGTACAGCTCCAAATTAGTAGGAACACTTTTGTGGCAGGTGCCGACTCATGTTTAAAAACCCAAAGTGCTAGGAAGTAACACTTCATAGAGGACCTCAGAGGGATATAACTTTAGATCCTCTAAACAAGAGCATATCTGATGTGAGTAGAAGTTCTTTCAAGCCGATTCCTTCTAGAAGGACCATTCAAAGGTCAACATCTTATCCAAAAAATTCCTGGCACCAAGGCATGGTATCTTCTCCCAGTGCAGTTCTTTGATGTGGTTAAAGAACTGCTTAACTCAGAGTTGCTGAATTTTGCAAGAAATGAACAACCCAAGGAGCTATTTCTCTTTTCAATCCCCTGATACTGTTAAAAATTCACACATAGTCACACACACTAGGTACCTACTCTGTAAAGGTGCAGTCCTGTGGCACTGTGGGAAATACAAAAATGTAAATACAAGGAGTCACATAGTACATTTTACCACTAACATTTAGAAGGGTTTGGATTTTGTTGTTCAACTTCTCATGCTTCTCATTGGTGGCAAATTATTTGTGCCACTAAAAACTCTAGAAAGTCAGTACCAGGTCCTTGCCACAGCCTGCCATTCAGGCTGTGGGGCAGGGGCTCCCCTGGACACCAGGATTCTATCTTGAGGATACTTGTGTCTGTTGTACAGTGATGAGAACCTGGACATGGGAGGAATGTAGTGCTGGGTTCAATTTCTAAATTTACCACTTTCCTACTAGAACTCTACACAAGTGATATGACTACTCTAAATGTCAGTTTCCTTATTATAGTAATGGAAGAATGACACCTGCATAGTAGCGCTGATTTAAAGATTAAAGTAAGATTAAAGCAGCTAGAATTGTACTTGGCACATAAGTGCTTAGTAAATGTTAGCCAGGATTGCATTATTGGACAATCTAAGACAGGGCATTGTGATTTTAGGCAGTGTCATAAATATTAGAGTGACAGTGGAGAGAGAGAGGGAGGACTATTCATAATTACCCTAGAACAAAGGCATGAACTGGGGCAGTCCCAGACCCAGACTTAGGTACCTTCACAAAATCATGTTCTGCTTTAGCATTGGTCTTGCCTGGTCCTTTTGGAAGTGTCCCCCCACCTCCTTTTTTTGTTAGGGCTGCTGTTAGTACGACCTCCCCTCCCTTCCCTCAGACAGATGACATAAAAGTCCATCCACTCCATTCTTCTCCATGTAAAGTCCAGAAGCCCTGGCTAGCAGACAGACCATCAGACCTTAAATGCTAGAATGTCCGAGAGCTAATGCAAAGGGCAAAATCATTCATGGTGTCTGGCCATTGGCTCATTACATCACAATAAGGTCCTCTTCAGTGGGGAATTCTAGCACTCCTGGCCACTCAACATGCCAGCCTCTCTCCATCAACTTGCAGCTGCTGCACCACTTAGAGCTGCAAATGACAAAGGCACTTCACTGAGGGATCAATGTCGGGTTAGAGCAGAGCCACTTGAGAGCAGCGAGAAACGAGGATGCTCTGGAGTTCAGAAATCGCTTTACAGGGAAAGATAAGTGAACATTTTGCTTGCCGAAGTTTCCACACCTGCCCAATTGTCCCCACAGAATACCCATTTTGTTTTAGAAGTTGGACTTTACTGAGAAAAAAAACCCTGCAGTTTGATTTATTTCTTTGTTCTCACTGATTGCCACACTAAATTTAATGTTTATAAGGTGAAGGAGAGAAAAATCACCTCTAACTGTTTTCCCAGATAAATTTTTGAAAACAGAAAAATTAAAATTCAATCAAACCATTGTATTTAAATTTGAAAATGTTGATTAGAAATTTTAAAATATGTTCTATTTTCTTGATTCCAGAAAGATAGCCAAACACCTACAGCTTTTCTTAATCTATACATTGCATTTTCTTCTCTATCCTCTGTGTTACTCCAACTTGAAAATGAGAGTTAATAGTGCTCACTTCACCTGCCTCACAGGAATTTCCCTGTGAATAGAAAAATAGTACTTTGCATTTTAATAGTAAAAATAGGACTTTGCTTTTTATAAAGAAAGCACTTTCTTTACCCCTTACCAACCCAGGGAGGTGGGTCAGACGAGCTACCCATAAATGTGGGTTGAGAAGATCAAACAGTACAAAAGGCTTTGTGCTTACTGATGGCGGAACTGCCAGAATGATGACTGACGAGTGACCACTGCCTGACTCATTCAGGGGGAGGAATGGGAACAGGAAAGGCCTGAACACTTCTTGGGTTACTCGATGGCATGTTCAGCCTCAGTATTTTGGCTTCCCAAAGCACTTGGGTGAACCTAGGAGATCTGTAAGGGCTGGTTGAGGAAAGAAGTGTTGGCACTGTGGCTTCATTTGCTCGTGGTTGCAAGTTCTTTCCATAGTATAAGTCTCCCCTGGAGGTAGTGAATGTTTCCAATTTTATCCCCCCTGCTCTAATTTGGCAACAGCACTGCCTTTCTTGTTATTTCCCACAGTAAGGCTTCATTGGCAGGTGTGTCCACGATTGATGAGACTGTGCAGAAGCCTGTGGAAGTGTCTACGCCTACGTCCAGTCTGGAAAGCCAACAGTAATGCATCTCCTCCCCCAGGAGGCAGGGGTGACCCAGATGCTGTGTGAGTCAGATGGCACTAACATGGCTCTCACATCTCTGAATGAACTTCAGAGGTTAAAATTCTGAAAATAAAAAGATTTAGTTAATGATCACTTGAACTTTAGATTAATATTTTAATCTAGAATTCTATTTTCTCTTTGATGCCAGCCTCTCTACACTGTGGTCACTGTTCCTATAGGTCTCTGATGTCTCTTTTAGCAGGAGTTTTGTGGTATTCTCCAAATTAGGAGCCCTTTCGGAGGTTCCTATGGCACTTTGGAAACACCCCACTGTAGTAATGCAATCACTTGCTTTCACTTATATCTCCCCCAGGCCTCTATGAGTTTTGGAAGGCAAGACTATGATCTTTTCATCTTTCTATTTCAGACACATAGCACAAGGCTAATAAATATTTTTAGAATAAATCAGTATATTTGATGAATTAATCAAGGCAGCCAAGAGAAAGTACAACTGAATGCATTCCTGGCTGGTGTGTAACACCATGAGTCATTGGTGCCATTCTGATTACGGTATGTGCCAGAGTCAAAGTGGTTAAATTTAATCCCTTACTCTCAAATTTACCCGTTTCACTTAATCATTGCACTACGAAAGCATTATCTTTCAACCAACAAACTTCAAAGACTATTTTAAAGGACATTAGAAGGATACTGTGAACATTTCATAAAATTCTTGCTTAAGGAAAGAGTTAAAGTGGTCATAAAAAAAGACTACTTTTCCTAATAATCCCTGACTTTGCTGGGCCTGTGAGCAGAAAACCGGGACACTGTTTCTGCAGACTGAAACCTCTGGTTTACATTGACAATGAGGGTATTCAAGTTGATGTGACTGCTGAAGGGTGTAAGTGGACACCAAGCTGTCAGGACATAGTGCAGAGGCTCTGGGTATGATCCATTATCAGCCAGTGCCAAATATTAATGAGCAATCTCCTGGTTTGATAACCAGTGTCTGCTGCTCTGCATTCCTAACACTCATTTTCTATCGCATTTCTGTTATTTCAGACAAGTCCCACTTTATATGATTGATCATTATTTTTGCTTTCATGAGGCTTAGGTGGGTAGAAAGAAAACCACAGCAAAACAGCATGGCAGGAAGTTTCTCTGCAAGAGATTCATGTAATACCTGTGCATTATGGCTTCTTAAAACCCAAATTCTTAAGTGTTCTGAGGTTAAAGGCTTCCTATTTGCCACAAAGTTGAAGGATGATGATTTAACTAGTATTATTTTGCAGGCACAATTTTATATTTGGTGTCTATAGATTAATGAGTGTTTAATTTTCACTGGGGAAGGTCATTATTAGTGGAGCAGATTCTGGATCCTGGCAGAACTCATTTGGGAAATGAAATTGAGGAATTATGCTCAAAATATAGAGTCTAACTCTTCCTCATAAATATTCTTGGTAGCAAGTGGGGTAAGAAGGAGACAGTCAGAATAAACCAGTTTCAGAAATAGTGTTTGGCTGTTGATACATTATTTGAGGAAAAAATAAGGATGTGATCATAACCTAACACTTACCCCCCTTATTTCCTCTACTTTTCTCTCTCTCAATAACTAGATTAATAATAGAAAGGAACTTTGAACTTAACTAACCTAGTTTCATGTTTTATTAATTTTCTTTATAATTTACTGAACACTTCAAAATGTGTGCAGCTAATGTGTTACATACTATTGTGTTCATTTTTTTAATGATGAAGGAATTCTTTTTTTAAAGATTCATTTATTTATAAAAGAACTGGGGTACAGGTCAGAGGCATGGGAGGGTGAGAGAATTCACCAGAGACAGGGCGGGGAGTGTTCATTTTACAGATGTGGACACTGACACTCAGAGATGGAATGTTACCTGCTGAAGTCACATTGCTTAGTATATGGCTGAACCAGCATTGAAACTCAGGTCTGTCTGATGCCAAAGACAACACTGAAAGAAAAATGATATTTTCTTTCTTGTTCAGAGGTTAAGGGGGAGAACATCCATGGTGTTAGAGGTCTAGTTCTAAATCACATATGTTAGTAGCACTGCTGTCATAAAAACTCAGGTCTCTGGCCCCAAAGGTCTCATTCTTCTGTACTACTGTAGCATAAAAATCTGACATGGCCATTCTATAACCATAGTTTATTTTCTGTGAAACTTGCAATTTCTTATCATTTTTTTACTTCTGAATAAGAATTATTTTTATGTAAACCTAAATAATATTTTTATAAATTTCTCTTTGTATTATCAATATATACACAAGAAGTCCCCCCTCACTTTTTATCATTTATATTAATTTCTGGTTGGAAAATATCACCACTCTAGAGATTTGCTCTAAATGACAGATGACTAAGCTACCTTAAGTGTAATCAGAATAGGCAGCACTGAGGTTACAAAAAGGTGTTGAAGGATTCTAAAATGACTGATAATATTTTGTAACATCCACACAGGTCCTGAGAGTCTGAAATTTCTGCCATTGGAAACACCTCTTTGTGTTAAGGTATCATATCATCAATAAAAACATCACCAATTAAAATGTATATGTCTTAAGATACTGTCTATAATTATCTTACTTACCGCATTGAACCATATAGTTGACAAAGAAGAGGATGGAGGGATGGGATACAGGGGACATAGGTTTTGGTGTAGGAAACAGAATTCAGGAAAAAATCAAACTAGTGGAACCCAATGCCTGGTAATAGACCGATTAGGATAATGCCCACTGGGAAACTCCAAGTTGAAGCAAGCAAATATATGAGGAATGAAGTTTGCCAGAAAAGAAAATCATACTTCATTTTTTGCTAGATAATTAATTTTAAAGAAATAATCATTTAGCTATTCCACTCATAGTAATCTACCCAAGGGATACAAAAACACTAATTCAAAAGGAAACCTGCACTCCTATTTATCACAGCATTATTTACAATAGACAAGATATGGAAACAACCTAAATGCCACAAAATATGTGGATGGATCAAGAAGTTGTGGTATATTTATACAACAGAATATTACTTAGCAGTCAAAAAAGACAAACTCAACTCATGCCATTTGTGGCAACATGAATGGAACTGGGAGGGATTATGCTAGCTGAAATTAGTCAGAAGGAAAAAGATAAATAGTGGATGGTCTCATTCATATATGGAATATTTTGAATATTGTGCCATTCAAATAAAAAAAGGAATATTCATGAATAGTTTTGGTAGTATGGCATGGTACTAAATACAAAGGTAGAAAAACTGATAAAAAAGAGAAGGGTCTAAAATAGGAGAGACAAATCCTACTGAAGATAAATCCTATGTACATGAAATCCTGATACTGTCCTAGGATATGGATCCTAGAAAGGGCAAAGTGGTGCCTATCACACATGTCCCAGAAGAATTCAGACCACATGACTTCTGAATGAAAAAGGTGGTTGACATCCAACTACAGAGCCTCTCAGTCTGCAAAAGACAATCAATTCCCCGAGTGCCAGCTTTCTGCCCATCTGCAAAGCTGGGTATCTGTCATGGCCTTCTGTGACTCTCTCTCTCTATTGCTTTTCCTGGCCTTGTTCACACTGCTCAGTGTTTACCTAGAAGGGCTTCAGATGGAAACAGGTGGCGAAGGGTCATAGATGTCATCATGCTTCAGTGTCCACATCTGCCACTGCTACACCCACCCGTTACTGAAATTTTTAACCAGTCACAACAAATAACCCTGCATTCTCATCAGATCAGTCTTCATTTATTCTAAGATGTGGATGAACACAGTTCAAACCAGAAATTAGGTCCCAAGAGTGACTTGCTGTTAAATTGGTTGGATAAGTGGCAAATGCGACAAATCAATCCTTAGTGAATTTCAAATTTGAGAATGATGGTGATTATCATTTGATGGGAAAAGAGGAAAAGGATAAGACAGAAAACCAAGTAACCTATTCCTGACCTCCTATTGTTGAGTAATCAAGGCCAATCATAGACTCTTGGTGTGAAGAAGGCTTTGCTAATCATGGTGTGCAGAAAATTGTATTTTGGCTAAGGAAAGCCTCTTTAGCACACATCTTGCCTATTGTGCAGGCTTGGGGTGGGAGGTAATTCTGCAAATAAGGAGAGGTTTTATTCACAGGAAATGAAGTGGAAGCCTCACACCCTTTCATCTTAGACTCTAGGGAACCATTTCATTTTCTTAGGTCTGCCAGGACAGGCAGTGGGCATAACCACTCCCTTCCAAAAGTGATCCTTGTCAGTTGGCCTTCATGTGGCCACCTTAGTTACTGTTTGCTCCCCTCAGAAACTGTATAGGTTTATGCTCCCCAATCACTCACAGTCCATGTGGGGAAGCTTATTCAGAAGTATTTTCCTGAGCCTGTGTTTCATTCCCAAGTAGGACACTGTATCTACGGTCTATAGGGTGTGTGCTTTTTTGAAATTCAAGCAGAGAATTTAGTTGTCTTTAACAGTGCCTCTGAAACATTGAACTCTCAAATTTACTCCATAAAATGCCAGCTCCTGAGCAGCTTCCTCTGCCTGTTGGCTCACTGCCTGTGATTCCCCACTGGCCTGCTGACATGGGCTTAGGAAAATCAAATAGAGTTTAATATCCCAATTATTATTAAAGTTTTTTTTTTTTTTTGCTAAAATCGGAATAGCAACACAAGAAATATAAAATGGCATTTTGAAGTCAAACATCTTATGAAAGTAAATACTGGACTTTGTTTTTAAGAAAGTTCGTGTCCTTGAGCACCCCTTATTTAGATAATGGAAACTGGTTGGTTCTAACCTGTACAGAATAAAAGTTGGAGAGACAAGGATAGGGTCACTTTCTTGCTTCTTTAGGTGGGGGGTTGGACTAAAGTAGGAGAGAATATCAATAAGAAAATATACAAGTTTGGGCCCAGCCTAACAAAAGCACACACCCTGCCAGTCTTCTCTCCCTGGCATCCCTGCCCAGTAACATGTGAGACAATATCCAGAAATTTAGTGTGAAATAACAACATCTATTCCCAATTATTCCTGAACCTTCACTATGGAGGGATTTCATTACCACCACGCTTTTCCTCTCTCTTCCTATCCCGTTCCTCATTCTTCCATAGGGACGAAGACTTGGCAAGAATGGCAAGCAGGCTTGAATCACAGTTTTATAGATTACATGAGGCACTGCACTCTGATTTCAAGATTTTCTTCAAAGCTATCTCCCAAATTAATTTGTAAGTTTTGACATGCCAAAGATCACGTGATATACTTCTTTGTGAATATCTTCCCAACGTTCACTCTTGCATGTAGGAGAGGTACTATTTTAGAAAATGATAGCTAACTTTTCTCTTGCTTTTCTGTGTATTACCCCAACACCAGGCAACATGGGCTGGGTAAGAAGCAAAGGGCCACACTGGCAGAGGTGCATAAGCAGTGCACCCAAGGCTCCTGGCTTTCTAGCGAGCTGAGTCTGCTGAGGGCCTGAGACACACAGTCTGGGCCAGGGGACAGATGGAAGACGTGTCACACACCCAGCAACATCTGTAGCATTGTCAATGGCTGAGAAAGGGTCAGATTTCTAGACCCTGACCAAGCTAAACAGGAATAGGTCATAAGTTCGTCAGTCACAGTGCCCAAAAATGCTGTCTGAATGTGGTCTGCACTGCCAGTCAGAGCAGAATCAGCTCCAGGTCAGAGGCTCAGTTACTCCAGTGACACAATCAGGCCAACCTCTTCCTGTGCCCTGAATAGCATCTCAGACATGAGCCAAGACACAGATGAACAACTTAAAAGACTGAGTGATTCTGCCAAAAAGAACGAGTCAAAATTCAAAAGAGTATATCAATTATTGTTTTATCCAGGATTCACACTGAACTAAAATTTTTCTAATACCTCACAGGTGGACTCCCAACTCATCAGAAGGATAAAGTCAGTTATAGATCAAAAAAAGCATCTGTAGACTCTTTACACATCCCGATAGTGATAACAGTGATTCCATTGTTTTATTTCTCCCTTTATTTACTCAAATAGTCATCAGATAAATACATGATATATGATAAAATTGTGCTATGAACTTAGAATACTGATTGAACTTGGAAGAAATGACAGATTGTTTTGATCTGTTGGAGAACTTGCTACCTAGACTTAATATCACAATAGAGAAATCTTTAAATAAGATTTTATCCTGTGCTAAGAAGATTGGGATCTGTGCTAAGGTATGCATTTGCATAGCCAAATGCTTCTAAAACACTTCATTTCTGTTACAATTGAGTTTACTCCACTTAGAATAACTGGCTTGAGGCTATTGTTGCTCACAACTTTCTCTGCAGTAGAATGGAAGATGGACTACTAAGAGATAGTAAAAGTGCAGCATGGCATTGATCAACCATTGGCTGAAATGTTTATTTAGTCATGTCTTTGTGTCAAAAATATTACAAAGCCATTTCTCAAGGTAATGGTAGAATCAGGTAGATTATGGAAACCTCGTCAAGAGAAATTATAAAATGTCTCTGATAATTGATACAAGAAGAAATGCAATTAAGAAACACAGGGGAGGGGTCTCCCCTGTGGTTGGGCTAAGCACTGTGAAGCTGTCCACAGCCTCTGCAGTACTGGTTCGATCCCCACCAGCCTCGGAGCAACCCACATGGCGAAGCAGACCTCTCTTGTCTCGCCCGCTACTTCCCTCAGCAGTGTGTTTGGTCACTCTGCCTGTTCTGTTCCCTGCTCTGTCTCTGGTGAATCCTCTCACCCTCCCGCACATCTGGCATGTACCCTGGTTCTTGTATAAATAAATAAATCTTAAAAAAAAAAAAACACAGGGGAATAATATTTTTACGAGTCTAACTAAAGAAGTGCGTACTAAAGTAAACTTGAAGAACTACTTTCATCTGAATTAGCAAAAAACAAAAACAAAAACAAATCCATCAGAAATTCAATTAAAAAGCTGTTATACAAATACTGCACTATTACTGTTGGCATTGTAAATTGGCCCATACATTTTTTTTTGTTATTTTTTTAAAAAGATTTTTTAAAATTTATTTATTTATACAAGAACCATGGTACAGGCCAGATGTGTGGGAGGGTGAGAGGATTCACCAGAGACAGAGTGGGAAACAGAACAGGTAGACTGATGACATACACTGCTGAGGGGAGCAGTGGGAGAGACAGGAGAGGTCTGCTTTGCCATGTGGGATTCTCGCCCAACCAGTTGGAATCGAACCCGCGCTGCAGAGGCTGTGGACAGCTTCACGGTGCATTGCTCAACCGCCTGCAACACCAGGGAGGCCCCTGACCCATACATTTTTTTGAGAAAGCAGTAGGACAAAGGATCGGCGGAACAACAAAGATTGTCATAAATTTTGACTTAGTAGTTTCAGACCTGAGACTTTATCCTAAGAAAATAATTTAGTACAAAGAAAAATAAAAAAACTCTATGAAGAGTTTTAACATTATCAACATGAAGGGGAAAATTGGACACAACCTGGATGTTCAACAATAGAACAATATAGGTACATTGCACAATTAAGTA